GGTTCAGGAGCTCAAGCAACAAAACGCAAGGCTTGTTGAATACCTCCGGGACCCCCAGATCCTCGAGCAGCTTCTCAAATATGTTGTCGCCCCGAAGCTCGAGCCTGTCGCGCCTGCCGACGACGACGAGGATGAAGACGACGACGAGAAGGGCAAGGACCTTGCGCAGCCGTTTTCCGTAACACGCGTAACACGGAACCCCCCGACGAGTCAAGAGGACAACGAAAAAAAACGGAACAGATATGCTTTCATCGCCGCCGAGATTCTGTCATCGGACAGCTGGTCCATGTACGAGGCTCTGATGGAAAGCAAGTCGCTTCTTTGCAGCTTCTGGCAATTTCTGAAGCGTCCGGCGCCACTCGACCCGCTCCAAGCAAGCTATTTCACCAAAGTCAACGAGTCCTTGTTTGACAAGAAGACGAAGGAAATGGTGGATTTTCTAAAGTCTATGGAGGGTGCTATACCCGATATCCTGAGACATGTCGATTGTCCCATGATCATGGATCTTCTGCTCAAGATTATCAGCCTGGAGCGCACCGAGAGTGGGCGGGGTATCGCCGAGGTAGGTAATCTGCCTCGTGTTGACGAACCATAGCTGACCATGACATTCTACAGTGGCTGTACATGCAAGATGTCATGCCAACGCTGATCTCCTTCCTCGGCCCCGAACATAGCTGGGCTACCCAAACCTCGGCAGCCGACTTCATCAAGGCCATCATTACGGTTTCGGCCAACGCATCGCAAAACGAGCAGACGTGTATCGGCCCCAACGAGCTGACGCGCCAACTCGTCTCCAAGGAGTGCGGCGAGCAGCTCATCCAGTACATGCTCGGCGGTGGCAACCCCCTGACTTGCGGCGTCGGCATTGTAATAGAGGTCATCAGGAAGAATAATTCGGACTACGATCCCGAAGGAGTGGATATCCATGCTGCCCCGTCCACCCGAGACCCTATCTATCTCGGAACCCTGCTCCGCCTATTCGCCCAGCATGTACCAGACTTCATGAATCTGATACTGAATACCCCGACCCAACAGCAACGACTGTCGTCCACCTTTGGGGGCCGGATTGAGCCCTTGGGGTTTGATCGGTTCAAGACCTGCGAGCTTATGGCGGAGCTCTTGCATTGCAGCAATATGGTATTGCTCAACGAACCCGGGTCCGAGGAGTTCATATCCTCTCGCGATTCTCTGCGCCATCGGTTGAGGGATGAGGGCCGACTGCTGCCCCCGGATGGGAATGCGCCGCAGTCGTCGGCTGAAGACCTCTCGTTGCGGGTTTCGCAAATGTCGACTGCGGACGAAAGTCGCAGGCTTGGGGTCATGAACAGCTCCGCCGATGACGATGGGTTCGAGGAGGTGTCGCACACCGCAGATGAGGAAATCTTGCACGGCGTCCTCGAGCTTCCCGATGCCCCCACACGCCCCCCGGTATCGTCGCTTCTAGATCAGGAGGACGACGACTTCGTTGATGAGCCCCTGAACTCGCCTAAGCTGGACTTGCATGAGGCGACCGGAAACCGTACTCAGCAGCAGCCAGCATTCGAGGACGCCGACCTGGTGGTGGCTCCCCTTTCCCCATGCAAAAAGACGGCCCAGACTGGGGGGTCTGAGGCAACAAAGGACTCACTTGCTAGAGAGCAAATCCAGGCCGAACCTGCCGACACACAACAGGGACAGCCCAAGAGCGACGAGTCTCCCAGAGGCGAACAGACAAGTGGTACCGCCTCGATTGCATCACAGGCGCCACCAAGCGCGGGCCGACTTCCAGCGGCCGAAGACCGCGATCGCTTGTCTCCTCATCCGGAGGATACTCCGTCGCCCTTATTTTCGGGACACGGCGCACCATCACCCTCTCCAAAAACGCCTGCCGAGACTGCAGAACCAGATGTGCCGCTGTCTCCAGAACGGGTCGTCGGCAGCCAAGAGTCCGAGCCATCGTCTCAGCCGATGCTGCTGCCGGAGCCTGCGGAGCCCGAGACTTCGATCGCACAAACTGCTGTGGAGTCAGGGCCCGCCCCTATTGTTGTCGGCGGTATCGGTGAAGACGCGAAACCCGTGGACAGCGCGTCTCGCGATTCTAGACTCGTCGTCGGAGATTACCTAAAGATGCAGCTCGTCGAGCATCGCGTTGTACCCACGATTCTCGGGTTCTTCTTTCGATACCCCTGGAACAACTTCCTCCACAACGTGGTCTACGATATTGTCCAGCAGGTTTTCAACGGGCCGATGGATCGGGGTTACAACCCGACACTCGCCATCAGTGTCTTCGAGGCTGCCGATGTTACCAACCAGATCATCAATGGTCAACTCGCCAGCGAGAGATCACAGACTGAGAACAAGACCCGCATGGGGTACATGGGCCACCTGACTCTCATCGCAGAAGAGGTTGTGAAGTTCACGGAGCGCCACTCCCCCGAGCTTCTTAGCGAGCTTGTGCTCGAGAAGGTGATGGCGCAGGACTGGATCAATTACGTTGAAGGTGCGCTCGCCGAGACGCGCGAGCGCGACAATGCCATCCTCGGCGGTGTCCGCCCGGAAGCCGCCATGAACAACCGCGCCAGCGCACAGGGCCTGATAGGTTCCAACTTTACCGGGCTAAGCTCGATTGGCCTCGGCGGGGGTGGAGGTTCCAGTGCTCTCGCCGAAGCCGGCTTGAACGGCGGCTCGGATGTGGCCGAAGGCTCTGGCGACAATGGGATCGGGCCATTCGCCATCAGCGCCGGGACTCTGATGAGCGGATTCGGCAGCTCCAGTGATGAAGACGACGACGAGGAGCCGGAGAGCGAGGAGGATGTTAACAACGAGGTTGGTGATCCCGATTCCTTTGATGACGATGACTGGTTGCCCAATTATGACTCTGCCGGCCCTAGTGGGCCCGCAAGTCTCTCTACGCCGAGTCCTGCGATCGATGAAGATGAAGGTGAACCAGAAGCGGAGTATGCCGAACGCCCGCAGGTCGAGCTTGATGCCGTGGGTGGCACTCAGTCTACTGGGCCGCCATCACGCATGGAGCAAGAACAGGATTCCACGGATCTGGACGCGACGCCACAAGGGCCCTGGACAATTAGGCGGTGACGAACTCGATCACAACCGCCCGGATGCCTGGAACGGACCGAGTTCATACTCAGTGTATGGCCATACCCACAACAATTTTCATTCTGATTTGTTCCTCATATTTCCCTGGTTTGTGGGAGGCGATGATGGCGGAGAACACTGGCACCAATCGAGGTGCTGTGGGTTTGTGGTATAATACGGATACCCACCGGCAAAAGTAACCCCGGTAGCAATGACTTCTCCATAAGTCCTGGGCCTCCTCGGTTGCTGCCCCACTTGACGCTGTGCTACGAGGAATCGGTGTTCAAATCGAGCAAGGATGGTTACAGCTCGGCCCTTCGTCGCCGAGCCAGTGCCAACGAGACAAACCCCAGTGGGCAAACCCCGTCTTACGCCGTTCATCCTGTTCTTGCTCCAACTCTGGCAGGCTCCCATGCCGTCGTGACCAGCTGGCTCACGCTCTCATCTCGCATATATTTCCGTTCTAAAAGCGCAGATCGCTAACGAATACTTCCAGTTCCGAGCCTACACCGATCCGCTGAACCACGCTAACAACGCCGACTCCTTAAACCCGCCTTCCATCCCACCTCCTCCACCCCCTCCGCCTCCGCTCAACATCCCCCCTTCGCGCGCGCGCCTCCAGCTTGCCGCCCGCCTGGCCATGAATAAGCGCAACGCCGAGGCCGCCGCCGCTGCCGCCGCCGTCAATGATGGGGCCAACCAGGATGGCAGCTCTTCGACGCCGGCCGATGACGCCACGGAGTCAAGCTCATTTGGCCTGCCGAGCACGACGGCTAGTCAGCGGGTGAGGAATCCGTTTGCGGATTATGATGACGATGGGGATGACGACAATGATGATGACGACGGCGGTTCGGGGAGTGGCAGTGATGGCGAGGTTACGATGAGCTTGGGCGGGGGTGACGGCGGCGAGGGGGCGCGTGCGGCGTGGAATCGGGGGTCGTGGTGGCGAGACGTTGTGCGTAGCGCCGGGAGGGGTGGGAGCGGCAGCAGAGGGCGGGATGGCGGTGGGCAGGAGGTGGAGGAGAGGTTTGGGGATGGGAGGGATGACGATAGCAGTGATGATGGGAGGGCCGCCGGCGAGGATGATGGCATCGATGATGACGATGAGTTTGGCGACTTTGCCATGCCCGAAGCGGGCGGCGCGGCTACCACCGCGGGCGGAATGGTGTCGGGGATCGATCCGGCGAGGGAGGCGATTCTGGTCAAGCCGATGGCCGTGCATCCCACGCCGCTTAAGAGCAGCGTCAGCCCGTTCAGCAGCCTGTGGCCGTTCTCGACCCAAGCCTTTGGGTCGAGGGACAGGAGGGACGAGGCGGAGACAACGACACCGGGCGGCGCGGGAGCTGCTGCTGGCATGGGGGGCGGGGGCATCACGGAGGAGCCTGTGGAGCTGACCGAGGAGGAGGAGGAAATGATCAGCGAGGACGGGAAGAAGATCAACCGCGCGGTCGAGGCCAAGAGGCGCACGAGCATCGAGGACCCGGATGAGGATGAGGTGGTTGTCGGGAAGGAGCTTCTCGTGCGGAATACCGCTGGTGGCCATTAGGAAGGGTGGGTGCTCGTTCCGAAGGGAGGGGGGGGGTCTTTGAGGGATGGGGCCGTGGCGCGTGGCGTGTGTGGGATGGCATTATACCGGACACTGGCTGCCCTGCGAAAGAGGGTGGCGGGGTGAGGGGAATTGGAGGCCCCGGTGTTTGTGGCCCATGTACGTGTACTTGTAGTTTTAGCTATTCATCCTTTTTGGTTTTTGCTCTATTCCCGAGGCTGATGGGTTTGAGTCAATGTTATGTTTTGAGGGCTCGGTTGGTCTGTTTGCCGCGTACCTAGGTAGGTACTTAAGTGTCTGCCCCCTGATTCAGGGGACGTGTTGCGCTTTGCCATTCATGGACCCTTGTGTGGACCGGTACAAGAACAACCAAACAAATCCCCTTGTGGTGTAGTTGGCTATCACGTTCGGCTGTAAAGGCATTTATTGATTACCGAAAGGTCACCGGCTCGATTCCGGTCGAGGGGACTCTCTTTTTCACTTTTTTCTCCACCCCACCACCCCCTTTTTTGCTGTACCTTACTTACATACATTGCCTGCATGACACACAACCCAGGGCAGTACTCAGTTCCATTCTCGCATTCCCCATGTCCTCAATAGTGTTCAATGGTGACCTCGCATGTGCGCGTCCCACCAAACATGCAGAACCTCAACCCCCGCCCTAACATTCGGCATCTTACACACAGGGAAGAAATTCGAAATCTGGCCAGCCCATCCCATCTGAGCGGCTGGCAACCCGGACATGCCCTTGCCCCCAACAACCCCTTTTTTGTCGGGCTAAAGTATCGCCCGTATTCGGCATCATCCATCCACGCTCGGCGATACTACCTACTGGTAGTATTGATGGGCGACCAGGCCCAGGAAAATGATCCCCTGCGCCATGAATAGAGTTCCTAGCTGCTCCCTCGGCGAGAATCCGTTGGCGGAATTCGGGGCTGGCGGTGTTGGAGAGGGACTGGTCGGATTCGGGGAGTTGGGAGTGGGAGTGGGCGGGTCGGGCTTGGCCGGGTTGGGGCTGGCGGGGTTAGGGGGCCCGGGAGTGGGAGTGCCGGGAGTGGGAGTGCCGGGAGTTGGAGCGGTTGGATTCGGGGCGGTGGGGGTGGGAGCTGTGGGACTGGGAGGCGTGGGAGTGTTGGGGACCAGGCTGGGTTTTGTCGGGTTCTCGTAGATGTTGAGGTGGTCTAAGCCGCCGCACATGTCGACAGCGTAGCCAGCGCATGCAATGTCGCACCTGGACGCGTCGACGGCCCGCTCGCGGTTGACCGTGTTGCCGCACCAGCACTGGTTGCCTTGCTTGAGACCGGCAAACTTATATCCCGCGCCCATACAGTCATTCTCGCATTGCGTGACGGTTTGGAAAACATGCGTGCCCAAGAAGTTGTTGAGCGTTGGCGGGCTTTCATCATCAACATAGCAACCCAAGTCCTTCCATGGCGGAATCGAGCCTGACACGCTGCCTGCGCTCCTTGCGAGCCCAGCGAAAGCCAGAAGCCATGCAGACACCGTTGCGGATTGTGCCCTCATTGTGGGTTGTTGTTTGGGGTGAAGTGAAGTTTGACGGGACGGCGTGGAAAGTGTAAGTTAGCAGGCCCAAGGCTTCTTCTGCCTCTGCCTAATATAGCGGAAGTTCGGACTTTCAGGGGTACGGTACAATTCAGGATTTGAAAATCCTAGGCCCCACCGTAAGCACATGTACATAGGCCACCGTTGTTGGCCCAATCAGCGACATTCGTGTCGAGACCTTCACCTTCATGATCGTCCAGGATTCAAATCCTCCGCTGTTCGCATAGATTGCAAGAGCCTCCTCCTAGCTACCTGGAGCCTATTCCAAGGCATGACTATGTACTTCAACCGAACCAACCATGGTCAAGTACGGCTGGCAGACAACTGCATCATGGGTTGGGAACCTGTGACCACAGACATCGCGACGGGCTCCTTTAACGTGAAAGAAAGAAAGAAAGAAAGAAAATCCAACGCGGCAGTTGCGGAGCATCGCGGGGCTGTGTGGGGCCGGGCCGACACCGGGGGGGACGGTGCTGCCAAGCCGGAGGGTCGGGTGTCCGTAACAGTCAGTCGCAGGCCCATTTCCCGACATTTTGTGGTTCCAATATCGACTGCTGTCATTTCAAACTCCGGGCTCAACTAGCAACCAGCGTGGTCGGAAACAGTGGCCATTCTTCCACTCTCGACAAATATACAGGATCGACTCAGACCCACGCAAAGCTGACTAATCATTACCCCGCCGTGTAAGATTTGGCCGCGCCTTGTTTCCAGGCTGTCCACGCTTGTCACTGTGTCAGCGTCACCTATCCACGTCTTAAAATCTGCCCCGCATGAAGGAATCCGACAAACAGCGCTTCGACGCACTCGTGCAGTGGTCCCGACAACATGGGGCGGAATTGCACCCGGCTCTCGAGGTTTACCAGGACCATGCCACCGGATTCTCAATTCGAGTCAAAAACTCGGTTTCTGATGGACGACCGCCACCCGAACCGGGCTTCACGGCATTTACTTGCCCCATCTCAACCACGCTTTCGTACCTGAACGCTTTGGTTGACGGGCCCACCAGCCTTTCCTCGTCTTTGCCGGAGCGACCCGGCGCCTTCTCTCCCCGGTTTATGGAATCGGTCCCTCCACACGTCATTGGCCGCTTCTTTTTGGTCAAGGAGTATCTCAAGGGCGACGACTCACTGTGGTCGCCGTACATCGCGACACTGCCTCAGCCTGCGCAAATACACGCCTGGGCACTCCCGGCATTTTGGCCCGAGGATGATGCTGACTACCTACAAGGCACAAACGCCCATGTTGCCATCGACGAGATCCAGGCAAACGTTAAGCGAGAGTTCAAGCAGGCACGCCGGGTGCTGAAGGAAGACAACTTCCCCGGCTGGCAAGACTACACTCAGATGCTGTACAAGTGGGCGTTCTGCCTTTTCACCAGCCGCAGCTTTCGGCCATCGCTTATGCTCTCCACGCCCGCAAAGGAGCAGGTGTCCGGTCTCCTGCCGGCCGGCTGTGAGATTGACGACTTCTCCATCCTCCAGCCCCTTTTCGACGTCGGAAACCACTCAATGACATCACAGTACACATGGGACGTCGACTCGGACCCGAACTGCTGCCAACTCGTCTGTCAAGACGCCTACCAGCCTGGCGACCAGGTCTACAACAACTACGGCCTCAAGACAAACAGCGAGCTGCTTCTGGCATACGGCTTCATTCTACCCGAGACCGAGGCCCTGCACAACGACTACGTGCACGTCAGGAAGCGGCAACACTCGGACGACGACACCGCGAGTGACAAGCCCAAAGACTTCCTCATCTCCCTCCGGCCCATGAGCCACCCAAGCTCGCTGGCGGGACTGGCGAGGCTATCAGTCTCTCCCGGAACCCGCCTCTCCACGCTGCCCAGATTCGCCCATTTTGAGCCCGCTCTCGTCGATGATCTCGCGTCGGTTATGGCAGCGCCCGAGGAGCAGCAGGCCATGGATCAGTGGCTATCCGGAGACGGCGCGGAACAGCCCTCCGAACTGGCGCCGCTGGTTGCGCGCATCACGGGCGCGTTGGCGGGGAAGCTCCAGTACGACTACCAACGCCTTATGGAGGCCGGATTCGAGGGCGAGGAAGAGGGGGTCGAGAGCCGGCTTTCCGAGCCGGCTAATCGCCACCAGCAGCTGGCGGTCGCCTATCGGAGGCAATGCGAGAAGGTGTTGCTCGCGGCGCTGGAACGGTTGACTGGGGAGGCGGTCTAGGGACGGCAGCGGCCGTCTCTCACAATGGAACCCTGCACCTGCCTTGCACCGGCACTCTGCGGAAGCCCCGTGTCGCGCTTGGCGCAGGGTCAGACAACGCAGCTCGTATATCGCTTGTTTGCATTCCACACAACCACCATTGTTCCATTCCCATCTTCTCCAACCAAGGGGACAGATAGCCCCCGATATTCCATCTGTTGTCCGTTTCGTTTCTCTCAGATCTTCCAGGGCCTCCATAGTACGAAGCTCTTTCCCCTCTTGGGCTGTTTCGCTGTTGAAAATGTACCAATGACAACTTGGCCGAGTGGTTAAGGCGACAGACTTGAATTCCCACGTTCAGGGCATCTGTTGGGTTCGCCCTCACAAGTTCGAATCTTGTAGTTGTCGTTGTTCTTTTTGCCTTTTTCCTCTCGCTCAAGCAACACCACCCCCCCAAGACGTTCAGGGGGGCGGGGGGGGCCCACCCGTCAACACCTCAAACAGCCCCCGTGGTCTCTCAAGCCCGACAAGTCGTTTCCGCCACGACGCAAGATGGCTAAAAGGGCCTAGTCCTAGCTTCCTGACAAGTTAGAGACCTTGTGACTAGACCTGGGTGAAGTGTCTGTTCCTTGCACATCGGCTAGACACGCGGCTGCACCAACCGTCCGTCAACCCCTATCCATCAAGACGCGCCAGACCAGAGTCCTTATCCTGATCACCTAGCCCAGCTGATCAACCACGGGCCCAGCGTGGTTACGGCTTCCAGGCAGATCACACAGGCTGTTGTTAGGTAAGTAGTCAGCAGCAACCAGGACGTTGGCGCGCAGTTTACCCCTCGTTTTGTTCTTGGATCTAGCGGCACTTGCGCGTGTTTCATAACTCTCTAGCTGTTTCCGAGTTAGCAATGTTTGGTTGGGTTGCCGACGATGCAACACCGTTGGGCCGTCGAGCAATATCCACCGAGGTTCAGGCCCGGTTAAATAGACAGCTTGATCTCACTCTAGGTTGCTTAGGCCTGCCAACGACGCCCCGGTATGGATTCTGGACATGGGTACTGGCTCGAGTTGCCAATACTACGCTCCAATCGCACATATACACATATGCTGTTTTCCCCGGTTTCTGCCCTTTTTGTTGCAGCGGCACGAGCAAGGTTGGTAACTCCCACCACTAGATGGACGTATGAATATGGCCACTTCAACAGCACTCGGGGAGGTACATAACCAATCTGTGAAGGCGGGGTCGCGGAATTCGCTTATGAGCAGGACAGGAAAAGTCCAACGGAGAAGTGGCAGTCGAACAAGAGTGTTTCGAATAAAACCCTCAATAAGACTACAGGAGGGTTGCGGCGGTCGTGGAGAGTAGGATCAGACCCATTGGTTCGGTTCAAGTCACGAAGCCAAGAAACCCGATCCTGTCGGACCGGCCGAATGTGATGGGATGCAGTCAGGAGCCGAGACCGAGCCGCCCGCATGTGAGTCCCCCATCCGGCCGCAACCCCCCCTTTAAACCGGCATCCGACGTCCAAGTTCACCGGTCAGGGCTCACCGGCCCCACTGTGATTCTTGATGGTGCGTGGAGTTGGACGGACGCAAGTGAGCTGGCGAGAAAGGCTTCACCGCGGGTCGCCGCTGGGGAAGGTGCTGTCGAGTTCAGGCCATGCCATGGCGAAGAGGGTCAGCTGGAACTGGAGAACAGAATGCACCGTGCCGCCGTCCCCAACTGAAGCAGCAAAGCGGCGCG